TCAACACGGGAAGGCTGTTGGTGCAGGTTAAATATCATTTCCGTCTTCGCCATCCCCTGCTGATGAAGGCTGCTCACATCTGAGGCTGCTGTTGGCGTCGGAGGCTTCGTCTGTGACCAGGGGACAAAGTTAAGCTAATTACCCCACCCCAGTGTCATAGCTAAATGTTGGCCTCCTTCATCACAGGAACTAACTATAATGCAATCAAGGCAGAGTCACAGCACATCCTCTGGATCCCTTTGCTCTCTGACCCACCCCGCCCCAGCGCACATCACCAGCCAGACAGAGACACGGGGCAGAGGTCATCTGGCCTGAGCCCTGCCACCGCTTCAGGCAACTTTCCTCCAGGCTGCTACATCCCCAGCTTTAAAAGGACTAGAATGAGATGATTTCCAAGGGCTTATCCAACTCCTATGTTCTAGATAAGTTCAGTTTCTAGAAGCAGAGTGAGAACATCACACAAAAAGGACACAACATTTGAGAACAGACTCCCTAACACACAGACTTCTTGGGATGGCCAGAAATCGAAAATTCAAGCCACTGGACTCTCCCCTGAGACAAAGTAAACCTTCCTCCTCTAGGCTGTGATCACATCCCCGGCTGCACCGTGACTTGCTGCCCAAGGAGCCCAGGCGCAGCTTTTGGTTGCCAGGCCAATTACTGCCTAACTTTCTCTGAGTGGCCTTATCACAAAATCTGGCTGCTCTGAATGTCTGCATTTATTTTGCTCATTATGAAGCTGTTTTTCATGACAAAGATACAACCAGGTTACAGAAATTTTCGTTTAGAAGGGAGAGAATTGTTAATTTGTCCCAAAGTCCTACAACTTGACACAACCAGTGTAAGTTTCCTCCCAGACTCCCCGTGTTTGCTTTTACTGCTTGATCTGCCAAGAACCCTGTGAATGCCAAAGAGCATCTTGTTCCTGGACCATTTTCCCCTGGTTCCACTTGCCAAGAAAGCAAACGTAGTACTTCTGCCATGTCTGTTTCAGAGAGCTCTGGTCTGGACTATTTTCCTGGGATGTTATCCTGAAACATAACAGAAATGAACCCACAAATGGGTTCACACTGCTTCCATACTGTGTGCTAAACACCTAAGCGTCCTTGTCACCCACATGCTCCTGTGAGGGGCAGGGGAAGAGCCTGGTCAAAAGTCTTGTCATGTCCCTGGGCCACCTCGATTAGCTGTCACCTTAGGCCCGTCCCTTCACTTTTCTGGGCCTTGCTTTTCTCATCCGTAAAGTGGGAATGAGAAAACAATACAAACTTCTAAGATCCAGGAGGATCAAATAAGATAACGTACAGATAAGCTGAAAATATTGTTTGACTAGTGGATGTGCATCCAGAGAGAGAAAACAGCCTGTCCCCAGACATGGTATGTCTGATCTCACAGATGGGTCCACAGTTGGGGCCGCCAGGATCCCTCCAAAGAACATCTGAAGGGCCAGGACCACCTCTATTCAGTCGCTTTGTCCAGCCAGCAAACGTACTGCCCCGGGCCATGCTCTGGGCACTCGAGACAGTGCCATGACTGTCTGCAGTGACAACTTCAATGACTCAGATCTTGTCCCTGTCGCTGAGGGGCTCACGTCTGGTGGAGGGGACTGGGGAACAGCACACTCCAGCCAAGGTGTGTCTCCCAGGACAGGGAGATGACCAAGGGAAAGTAGGAGCCCAGAACAAGGGCTTCTGTGGTTTCTCCCTTTCAGGTCTCGGGCTCACTAGGCCTGAGACTGGGTAGGGGCAGGCAGAGGAACAGCCTGAAGAAGAGCTGTCACCAAGGGTGAGGCCCAGAGGTGGGGCAGGAAAAGTCTCACAGATGGGGAAATTCCTTCCCCTAGATGACACTGGGATTTGCCCAAGGTCTCTCAGGAAGACCACTTGGAGCAGAACCTAGGACTGGGCCTCCAGAAGGCCAGGCCAGCCCCTCCCTGCAGAACTTGAGTGCAGTTTCTAGAAAAGAGAGAATCGGAGGCCTGGATTTGTATCTCAGCTCTGCTGTGTGACCCTGAGCAAGGCCTGGCCCCTGTCTGGGCCTCAGTCTGTGTGCACAGCAAGGACAAAGTCCATTCCAGTTTTGACATTATGGAACCAAACTTTGGCAGGCAGCCCCAGAGCACTGAAAACCTGGAGGGTACTCAGTACTGAAACCTGAGTACAGACAACTGAAAACCTGGAGAATACTGAAGGCCTAGAGAGGTTTTCAGCACCAGAGTCCTATCCCAGCCTTCTCTGCTGCAAGGGACCGCAAAGACCAGAGGTGCAGCCTTCCCAGCCAGCACCCCTCTGAGCTCTTCCCCTGCTGGGCCTCTGCCAGACCCTCTGCCTCCACGTGGGCCTACCTCATCCCTGAAATGCCTTGGCCTGTCTCTGGCCTTCCAGACTTGCTCCTCCAGGAGGCATTCCCTCCAGCTAAGCTGAAGTGTGTGCATGCTCCCTGAGGTGAGGCAGCTGCAACCCAGGTCGTGCTCAGATTTGCCCCATGAAGAAGAGAAGGCTGAGGGGAGTGGAGGGGCCGCTGTCCCAGGAGTGGAGTCGAATCATTGCCCGGCACCTCTTCTGGGTTCCCTAAGCAGCCCTCACTAAGTCCTGTGAGATACGTGCCCCAAATGGTGTAGCTGGTTAACAGCCTCCCAGGATTTAGGTTCACCTCACTCCTGTGGCCCTCATGTCCCTCACTTCAAAGGACATCCCCTCCAGGCTCAGGCCTAGGCACCCAGGACCCAGAATGGAAGGAGAAGCTGCAGGGAGGGATTTAGGTTAGAATCAGCCACCTGGCCGTAGAGGCAGGGGGCACACCACTGGGGTATGGGGGGCATGCCCTGCAGCTCTGCCTAATTGGGAGCCCAGAGTCCCCAACATTTTGTAAAAAAAAAAATAAGTATAATAGTCACAATCCAGCTGTGCCAACTGTGTGATCTCACATTACAAACTCTCTGAGCCTCAATTTTCTCCTCTGTGAAAGAGACACCTACATCACAAGGTGGTCGGGGAGAACAAAAAAGATGATACTACATGAAAAGCACAGAGCACAGGAGCTGACACATGAGCACTCAGCAACGGTGGCTCCCGGAAGCAATGGTCTTTCCAGCCAGGAATCCCAGGAGGTAGGAGGATGGCCTCAGCAGCCACTAGGCAGCTGGTGACTCCTGGTGGCCACTGGGAGCTAGAGCACGAGGGCTGGGCCTGGCCAGAGTCGGGGAGGGAGTGCCCAACTTTCAGGAGTCTTAAAGGATGCTGGACTCCTAGTCTTCAACTGTCAGACTTGCTGAGTCTGTGAGTCAGAGAATGCAGCACTTAATAAGCATTTCCTGAGGCTCCCTCTGTGCCAGGCCTGGTCCCAGGGAATATCCTGTTCCCATCAGGGCCTCTTCCAAGAGCTCCCACTGACAATAGAGGGAGGCAGACGCAAATGGAGGAGTGCAGAGATGGAGGGGCCCCTAGCCAGTGGGCAGGTGAGAAGGGGCTCTCAGTGAGGGGATGCTGAAGGACAATGTGAATTGGGGGCTGGGAGGGAAAGACATTCTGGGCAGAGAGAAAATCCTATATAAGACACACTCAGAGCAGCAAGAAAATGGAGAGCAGCTGAGGCAGCAGGGTCACATCTGAAGAGCTTTGAACTTCATGCCGAGGAGTTTCTCTGCAGGCAGCAGGGTTGCACGTGTAACCACGACACCTTAGAAAGTCCCTCTGGCCTTGGCAAGGGGACTGGGTAGGGAAAGCGCAGGTCTAGGAGGAGGCAGCCTGCAGTGGCAGCAGGGGTGGAGGGGAGTTAAGACACACCGGCCCCAGGGCCTAAGAGGATGTGGAGCGTGAGGGAAGGAGCTTATGTCAGGGGAGAGGATGCCAAGGAGGCTGCTGGGTGTGTCACCTAGAGCTCAGGGGACAGCTGAGCAGAGAGCAGGGAGTGATCTGGGACTCGGCAGAAGGCAGACCTGGGTGTTTAAGCAACACCTCTGCAGCCCTTGGCATGTGCCAGGAGCTTTACAATTCCTAATGCATTGAGTCCTTACAACGCCCTTTGAGGTGGCTACTATTATTATCTCATTTACAGAGGAGGAAACGAAGGCACAGAGATGTTAAGTAACTTGCTCAAAATCATTCAGCTACTAAACAGTAGAGCTGAGATTCAAACCCCGACAGTCTAGCTGCAGAGTCCAGGCTCTTAGCTCTCAGCCACCCATCCTGGAAATGGTTTCCAAAACCCTGGGACTGGCAAAGATGCGCAAGGGAGACTCTGACAGGTGATCAGGAAGGAGGCTAAGAGTTCTAGAGAGACTTTGGACCTCAGCTGAGCAGACCCCCATCACTTGGAAGGAAGTCCCCTCGGCTGCCTCATGACTGGCAATGGCCAGCCCGCTGTCCCCCACTCCATGCCCTAGGCTGGTGAAGTAAGTGGGGTGCCAGACTCCACCCTGTCAGGTCTGCCTTGTACTCCCGGCTTGTCGTGCAGGTTAAATTTGATGCCGATGAAAGTGAAGCCCCAGGCCGAGCCCTCGCCCACAGCTGCCCTCCCCGATCCAGACACACAGAGGCCGTTGCCCACCTCCCACCCCCCCCCGGGCTCTGCCTCTGGAGCAAGAAGGTGGCTCCAGTCCCACCCAAGGTGGCCCTGGGATACCAACACCTGACATCACTCTGGTTTGTTAGGACCCTTCCCACCAGGGCTACTCTGGGCTGCCTCCCCTGCTCCCTCCTCGGAAGCCCCACAGCCCCTCCTCAGCCTCAGTTTACCCTGGGTGCCTGAAGCAGGAAGGCCCAAGGTGCTAGCTAGGCCTCAGGACCAGCTTGGACCAAGGGTGAAATTCCCGCTGCCCTTCGCTGCCCCTGGCCGTTCTCCATGCTGTCTCCTCGGTTAGACGAGAACAGTACCAAGGCCGGGCCGGCTCTGCCCCGGCTCTGTGTGGAAGGAGGAGAGGGGGCCAAGCCTGGATCTGGAGCCACCAGCCCAAAAGCCTCTCTGTTCCCTGAATGCTGCAAAGCGGCAAGCAACACCAGTTTAGATGCAATTTTTTTCCACTCTTAGCAGAAAAAGTGAGGAGACAAAGATAAACAAACAAATACTGTAATTCCCTCCAACCCACACTTTGTTTTTAAACAAACAGGCCAGGTCCTGCCAGGCCTTCTTCCCCACTAAATGCCCTGAGGCCACCCCTACCCAACACCCCCCGCCCCCCGCCTCTGGAGCACCGTGGAGTAGGGGGAAGTTGTCCTCTGGCTTCAGGCTAGAGCTCCAGTCCGGGCAGGGGGTTGTGGCACTAGTGCCAGAGCACAACCTTCCTGGCCTGGTCCACGCTCACCACGTGGCTCCCGGAGTAGCACCAGGCCACGGCGTTGACAGCAGCGCTGAGGAGAGGGACGGGCAGGCTTCAGGAGGCGTCAGGAGCTGGGCCTGCAGCCTGGCTCTGGCCCTCATTACTGGACCTGGGCAATCTGAGGCCCTCTCTGAGCCCATCTCGTCACCTGTAAAATGGGCTCACAGGCCTGTGGTGAGGATGGACCCCAGTGCACGTAGAAAGGCACCTTGTGAACTGGGAAGGGCTCTGGGGGGAAGGAAGGTGTGGGACAAGGGCAGGGGGCTCCAGGGTCCCAAATATGTCAGAACCTGGAATCGATGTAGCAGGACTGGGCTGGGGTGACATGGCCCTAAGGCTGGGGTGGGCAGGCGGGCAGGTGGTAGCCATGCTCACCAGTGGGGTCCCCGAAGGCTACTCGCCAGTTCCCCAGTGTTTACATCCCAGATGTAAAGGGCTCCGTCCCAGGAACCTGCCAGTGCATAGCTTCTGTCCGGGCTGCAGTGGCCACAGCAGAACGAGAGAGATCAGAGGACACACACACACAGTCTGACAGGGCACACTCGGGCATAGGCATGTGCTCTCACAGACACACCTGAACACAGCTTTGGTCCAGTCAGAACCGCACTTGAAGCCATCAGCCCTGGGGACAGACAGGGTTGTGCTCAGAATGGAGGTGGCTGCCAGTCCCCAACCTCAGCCAAGAACTTCAAGAGCTTCCTCTCTCTGTCAGGGGGTCGGGCACCTCAGCAGGCCTGGTTCAGAAGCGCCTCCAGGGTGGGCCCCCCACTGACAGGCCCCAGAGGGCTTTTTACAGGGGACGAGAGGCCCAGCTGCCCCAGCCAAAGCCACAGGTCAGTGGGCACGAGGCTGTACCTGAACACCTGGCGGATATTGCTGACACGCAGGTCGATGACCTTGAGTGTGTTGTCACGGGAACAGCTGAGCAGATGCAGCTGGTCATGGCTGAGGCTCAGGGAGGTGACCCGGCCCTGCACGGGGATGACCTGGATGCAGCGGGGGCCCCTGAGGACAGGGACAGAGATGGGGATGAGGAGCAGCCCACCCTGACAGGGCCACCCCTGACAGGCGCCCCTGGTCTCAGATCACTGAGGCCAAGGCTGACGGCGACGAACCTCCCACCACAGCCAGCCCCCTCCAACAGGAACTTAGGCAGCCTTTGCCTAGAAGATGGAGCCCCTGAAACCTTGGGCCACTAAAACAAGTGCCAGAGGGAAAGCAATGAAACTCCATCTTTAAACGTGTGAAAGAGAGAGCAAGGGTTTCACACGGCAATCCTGCAGACCAGCAGGGAGCAGCAGGCCCGGCACTGGCTCCAGCACTGGCTTTAAAAACCATTCAAGCTCAGCGGTGGGCGCTTAGGTTTAAAAAACAACTAAAACTTTTGTTCTTTTTGATTAAAAAGTGGTAATTAAATGGGAAAAGGGTAGGGCCAGCCTGGTGGCATAGCGGTTAAGTTCACGCGCTCCGCTTCAGCGGCCTGGGGTTTGCCAGTTCGGATCCTGGGCACGGACCTACTCACCGCTCATCAAGCCATGCTGAGGCCGCGTCCCACATAGAAGAACTACAACTCCACAACTATGACATACAACTATATACTGGGGCTTTCGGGAGAAAAAAAGAAAACGAGGAAGATTGGCAACAGATGTTAGGGCAGGGCCAATCTCCCTTAAAAAAAAAAAAAGGAAAAAGGGGCTTGGTTGGCAAGGCCCAGGCAGAGACTAGCGATTAGACGAAGAGCCACTAAGAAGGTGGCACAGCTTCCTGGGGTCAGCTGAGCCTTCAAAGGGCCAAGCCCATCACAGAGAGGCCAGCAGCTGGGAGCACCAACCCCATAGCCTCACTTCCCTGAGGTGCCCTCCATGGCTCCATGGCCAGAGAAAGGATAGAGAACACAGGAACCCCATCCCCATGCCTCCACCACCCACAGCCTGTGTCTGTCACCTGCTGTCCCAGAACCGGATCTTCTGGTCATTGTGGCCACTAATGATGACATGGTCCCCACACACCACGTCGTTACAGTAGGAAAGGACATTGATGGTCCTGGAGCCTGGGGACCAAGGAACAGAGCCCTGGCCTCAGAGAAGGGTTGGACATATGGAGAAGCTGAGGCCCAGAAGCCCCAGAAGCCCCAGAGAGGTGGTGTCCTCCCAAAACTAGAACCCAGGTCCCCTGCCTCCCAGCCCAAAGCCTGAGGTCAACAAGCAACTGGCAGAAAGCACCAATGGGGGACAGAGGAGAGGCCTAGGAAGGTTTCATCCCAAATGCCTGTGAGGCTCAGAGCCACTCCCAGAGAGCAAGCTGAAGCCTCTCCGGACCCAGCCAGGGAGGGTCCCGAGGGCAGGGAGGGGGAGGTGGGGACCCGGTCTCACAGTAGGCGCGGCCGAGGTCCCACTCCTTCACGGTCCTGTCTCGGCTCCCAGTTACCGCCTGGTGCCTCGTTAGCTTGAATTTGGCAGCTGTCACCTTGTCCGTGTGTCCAGACAGTGTCTCCTGCGCCCCATCCCAGACATGGATCAAGAGCACAGCCAAGACCCCATATCACCCCCTCCAGTCCCAAGGCATGACCCCTGACCCCCGGGTGCCACCCCAGTCAGGCCTCACCTTGGACTGTGCCTCCCCAACCTTCCAGAGCTGGGCAGCCTGATTGTAAGTAGCTGCCAATACCTGGGAGCCCTGGAGAGAAGGGAGTGGAAGGGAAAGGTCCAGAACCTGGGCCTGGCCAGAGGCAATGTCCCTCAGGCCAGAGAGCTGGGGCAGGGGCTGCCTCGGAGCTTCCCACAGCCCAGGTCAGCAGGCAGGCGGAGGAGCTTGGGGGCCCAGGGAGGATTTGGGTAGGAGCCCTAGGGCCTGGTTCTAGGACACCCATGATGGCCCCTCCGGTGCCAGAGCCCCCGCCTGCCGGGTGTGGAGATTGGGGGGCATCCCCTGCCACTAGGGCAAAGTCCCCTCACCGAGGGGTCAAAGTCCACACTGGTGATGCTGCCACCAGCTCCTTCGAGGGTCTGGTTGGCCTCCAGGCGACCTGGGGGGACCGGGGGAAGAGGCAGGTGAAATGAGGTCACTAACCTCATGAACCGGAGGAGCTGGGACTAGGAGTGGCATGATTAGTCTCTCTCAAGTTAGAGGACAGAATTGCTGGGTCTGTTCTGGGTGCCTGGGCTGGAAGCTGCACCTTCCCGAACTGCCAGCAGGGGGCTCCAGGTGGCAGCTGGTCATCTCACAGACGGGGTGGACAGGACCAGAGAGAAGGGACTGCCCCTAGGTCGCATAGCAAGCCAGGGGCAACCAGCTCTGACTCCCCCAACACACCCCCCTCTACAGAGCACAGGGCAGACAGCTAATGTCTGTCTCACCCGAGTTCTGAGAGCTCAAGTGATAACAGAAGAGGTGGCCTGGTGGACCACAGGGACCTGCTCCTCAAGGGCCTGTCCTTGTAGGACCTCATGATCGGGGACTCCCACCTCCCCTAACAGGGACCATCTGAGCTCAGGCTGCAGGCCTGACCCCAGGAGCTGGGAAGCACCACCCTTCTTCAGAGCAGCGAGCCCAGAACTCGAGCTAAGGGGTCAGCTGGCCGCCGCCCACAAGAATGTTCCAGGAGAGGAAACAGAAAGAGACTCAAGGCCTCTGCCCACCAAGGAGCAAGCTGAGGGTGGGGTCTGGAGAGAAAGCATTAGGGTTGGCCTGCAGGGGAGGGACCCTCACCTCCCACAACATTCCAGAGGTGGATGAGGCGGTCAGCTCCTCCGGTCGCCAGGAAGCTGCTGTTGGGGCCAAAACAAACAGCATTGACCTCCGAGAGGTGGGTATCCTGTGGGGAAAAGGTGAGGCTGGTGCCCCTGGTCCTTCATGCACGCCTCTTTGCGCATGCTCACAGGCTCTCTCTCACAAGCACCTGTGCACACGTCAAGCCTCATCACCTCTGCCTGGATCCCTGCAGCAGCCTCCCCCCTATGCTACCCCATGGTCCCCTGCCTGGCTTCCTGGTCTCCCAGCCTCTTGTCTCTCCCACTCCAGTCTACCCCTCATTATAAAATGCTGAGGGGCTCCCACCACAAGCTGTGGAAGGAAACTCCTGCTCCTAATAAGGAGCCCGGCCTTGGTTCCCTGGCCTCCTCGGACCAGCCCTGGGGCCTGCACTCCCCATATCAGTACCCCATGCATGCAGCCCAGCTCCTCCTCACCAGCACATCCTGAGCACAGGTAGGAAGTCGGGCAGCCACGCACACAGGGATGCACTGGTATCGCTGCTCAGGGGCTCCCCCAACTGAGTGGCCTCTCCTCTTCTTGAAACTGGGGGCGGGGTGTCAGGAGAGCATTCAGCAAAGCCTCTGACGTGGGGGCCTCAGGCTCCCCTGAGGCAGCAACAGCAGCAGACATGGAAGGCAGCAGAACATGGCCCAGAGGTGCAGCGAGCATGTTACCCAACCCGGGGACCCCAGAGGTCAGTGTGGAGATGGGAGGGGCACAGAGACAGGCACAGAGGCAGGGCAGGGTTGGTAGATGCAGAGAAACCTCAGGGCTGGGGTTTCAGTCCTGCCCTTGCCACTGCTTGGCTCTGACCCTGAAAAGAGTCCCTGATATTTCTGAGCTTCAGTTTCCCAACTGAGTGGTAGTTCCTATTGGGCCTCAGGCTGGAGCTCTTGGTCCCCTGTGAGGAAACTGGATGAGGGACAGAGCCTGGAGGATAGCTGGGCTATCCAGCTCCTGCCTCTGGGGCTCAGGAGAGACTCACACGCAGACTGCCGGACAACATACGGACAGCCAGACCCGAGGCGCATACACAGACCAAGCCTGGGCTCCACGAGCCTCACACAGAGCACCAAGGGACCCGATCCCTTTACACACATTGGTACACACACACACTTACTCCAGAAGGCCCTTCACCACATCCACACAGTGGGACAGCGTCAGGGAGGTGGCGGAGGCAGACCTGGGGCAGAATCGAGAGAGCTGTCCTAAGGGACCGGCCGGTGGGTGTGCAGAAAGCGGTCACTCATCCCTACACTCGGCCAGGGACCCCGAGGCTCATAGCCTCCTGAGCCCAGAACAAGAACTTGGCTCCTCCAAGACCAAGAGAGCAGGATGACCCAGAGCAGGTCCAGAAAAGTGGAGGCAGAAAGGGATTTGGCATGAAATCTCCCCAAGTTTCCACATGAGGATAAGAATTGCCTCACCACCCAAGTGCCCCCAACAAAAGCTCCTGGGAGGCTGAGCTGGGCCTGTGGTGGGGGAAGGGTGACGGTGCCCCAACAATGGGACAGCACAAGGCTGGGGGCAGGGGGGTGGGGTGGGGAAACCTAGACCTGCTGAAAGACCTCAAAAATGCCCTGAAGAGGGTGTTTCCTGGAATGACTTGGCCTACCAAGGCTGTCAAGGGCTTTGGAGACCAGCATCCCATGCCCCTCCCCCAAGACTCCCTCACTGGACACCAGCGACCTGGAAGGAACGGCTGAAGGAGAGCCCTCAGGCTGGGGCATGGCGCAGGGCGAGGGCAGGCTCAATGCCAGGCAAATCCAGACAGATGGCGGAGATCGAGGGGAGGGGCACCCAACGACTGAAGCCCCAATCCGGTCCCACCTATGTGAGCTCACATCTACACATGCTCACTTGTTCACGCCACTCAGGTATGCTCACCCGAGCTTGTATACACGTGCTCTCATGTCCGGTGTATGCACACACACGGCTGTGACAGCTGACCCCTGGGCCTTGCCTACAGGTTCCCTCCTGGTGACATCCGTTCACCAGCCTGACACCCCACCCCCAGAGCTCTGGTCCTGGGAAGGAAAGAAAGGGATGAGGACAGGGGTTGGGGTCCTGGAGGTGGCACTGACCCCTTGTGCCTCCACGCACTGGAGGTTGGAACTGTCCTGGGAGGTCTGAGATGTACCCCAGCATCTCCCCAAGGCCCCTCCCACCCCAAGAGCTGGCCCAAAGTCCTACAGGAAGACTCTGGGGTGGGGCCCAGCTCAGAGCTCTGGACAGTCCTCACCTGAAGGGCCTCTTCCACTTCTCTCCAGCCTCACTCTCCAGGGACACCGGCTCAGCAGCAGCCAGGGCCAGAGTCTGGGCCTGCTCCTTGATCCCATTGCCTAGGATGTCTGGTCTCCTGAGAGAGAGGATGAGGCTCAAGAAGGCCAAGGGACCTGGCCAGCCCCTCCCTGCCCCAGCGCCCAACATGGTGAAAACGTGCAGACACAGTGATGAGGGGCCCGAGCGAGTCCACGCGTGCTGGCTCCTATGACCACACGAGCCTGCACGTGTCCTGCAGGCTCGGTCTACGTTGGGGGCCTCGGGACCGCGGCTGTGCACACGTGCGGTCAGGTGCACGGTGGCGCAGGCAGGTGGGGGGCGGAGTAGAACTGTAGGCAGCAGGGGGAGAGCAAGGCGCTGCGGCGCACGCGGGGCGGAGGCTCGGCGGGCAGCTCCAGGCGCAGCCCCATTCTTACTCGCTGATGCTCACGGTCCGCTTGGCAGCCTTCTTCAGCTCCTGGGACACCCGCGCCTGCTTGGCCCTGGGAGAAGAATAGCATCCTGAGAGCCAGAGCGGCGCGGGACACAGAGAGGGGCGCGGGACGCTGCCGCCTTCTTGCGAGAGTGGGTCCCCTCTGTTGGGGAAGGCGCGCCGGGCCCCCCTTCACCCAGCGCCAGGTGGGACCCTCCCCCAAAGGGGGCGCGACCGCTCTCGAGCTCCCTGAGGGGCGGGGCCCGGCGCGCTCACCTCTCGTGGCGCTCGTTGCGCAGGTTGCGCTCGGCGGCGGCGCGCGCCTTGCGCTGCACGAGCCGCTCCAGCAGGTCACGCGCCTCTTCCTCGAGCCTGCGCAGTGCCGCCTCCTGGAGCCCGGCGTGCGCGCGCAGCGCCTCGTAGGCCGCCCGCAGCGCCGCGTTCCGCGCCCGCCGCGTGTGCACGCGCTGGGCCTGCTGCGCCCGTTCCTCCTGCAGCTGCTCCACGCGGGCTTCCAGCGCCGCCAGCCTGGAGCAGGGGGACAGCCTCTGTCACCGCTCAGTGGCAACGGGTTTCGGAGCTGGGACCGACTTGCCCATGGGCACGCGGCCAGCCAGGCGACTAAGCCAAGTCTCCAACCCAGCCTCCCCCCTCAGAGTCCTGCCGTTCGGGGCCTCGGAGACCACCCATGGGGCAAGTTCTGGGCCCCTGCTGGAGACTCACGGGGTCACCCCGTCCCCTGGCTCCGGCAGAGAAGGCCCTGAGCCTCCCGGAGGTGGGCGCCGTCCCTCTGGCACCCGCCCGCGCCTCACCTGCCTCGCCGCTGCTCCAGCTCCGCCTCCAGGGCGCCCAGCGCTGCGCTCTTCTCCACCACCCGGTAGGCCATCTGCGGGCGGGCGGGACAGGTGGGCGCCTCTGTGGACGCACCCCGCGCCCCCAGCCCCTCCCCGCAGAAGATGCTGACGGGACAGGGTCTGCTACCCACCCACCCTCACCTGCCCCTTACTGAAAGGAAAGCAGAGGCTCAGCTCGGTTTAAGGTCCTGCACAGGAATGCATGGCTGTTTTGGGACAATGGAGGGGCCTTAGGCCCTGGAGTCTAACAACTGAGTTTAAATCTTGCCAGGGCCACTTATATTCTCTGTAACCCTGGGGTAGTCATATAACCTCTCTGAACCTGCCCTGTTTCTCACCTGTAAAATGAGAATGATAGTGCTTACCTCAGGGTAACGCAGAATTATTATGAGGAATAATATTTCAAATAATGGCAAACGTTTATATAGCACTTATGTGTGCCATGCCTTGTTCTGAGCACTCTACACGTATTAACTTTAATCCCTGTAACACCACCATGAGGTAGGTACTGTTACTCTCCCCATTTTACAGATGAGGACATACACAGAGAGAAGTGTCTTGGTCAAAGTCACACAGCTAAGTGGCAAAGCTGGTATTTGAACCCAGGCCACCTAACATTATGCTCCAAGTAAAGGACTGGTCTACAGGAGGGGTTCAAGGGATATGGGTTCTGTTTCCTACCTCTCCATCCCCTGGCCTACCCAAGCATAGATTCCAGAGAGCAACAAGAAGCTCCATGCAAAGGCACACAGGCCAAGAACAGGAATACTGGACAATATTCCAGGGCCCAGACTGAATACTGGAGCTGCTCCCAGCCCAAGACACAAGGGTGAGGGCCATCTCATCTCTACCGCTGCCTCACTCAACCTGGCCTTCAACCAAGAGCCAAGAGCTGTGGAAGCCACAGAGATGAAGCTCAACTCCCACCTTTTAGAACTGAGGGGTCAATGAGAGAGACAGACCCCAGTTCCCACTGGTGTGGCAAGAAGAACACGAAGAAAACCAATGCTGGGGCTCTTGCGCTAACCTCTCCTCCTGTGTTCTTTCCAGCATGGGCCTGGTAAGGGTCGGAGTGAGGAGCAAGGCTGGTGCTGTCCACTCGACTGACACACCACCCAATGTGAGTGGGCCTGGGGAGGGACCCTGCACATGCAGGGGAGGGAGCCTACTTCCATCGCTGGCCCAGTTAATAACATTCATAATTCCTCTCACCACTGAGCAATCTTACCCCCACTTCCACGCCCTCCCCGCCTTCCCCTGTCATTTACTTTCACTGATGTTTTGTTACTCAAAATTTTTTTAGTTGATGCTTTTCAAAATTCAAATAATAGAGACTGAAAACAGATTAGTGATTGCCAAGGGTTAGAGATGGTTGGGGGAGAGGTATGACTTGTGACCAAAAAGGGGTAGCAAGAGGGAGATCTTTGTGGTGATGAAATAGTGCTGTATCTTGATGGTCACACAAATCTACACGTGACAAAAAGACAAAGGACTTACTTCATACCATTATCAATTTCCTGATTGTGTTCACTGTAGTAACATAAGATGTAACCAATGGAGGAAACTGGGTGAAGGGTACACAGGACCTCTCTGTACTGTCTTTGTAACTTGCTATGAATCTATAATTATTTCAAAATAAAAAGTTAAAAATTGAGACATGCTTGTTGTGATATGTGAAACAGTACTAAGAATTAAAGAAAATGCCACTCCCCATCCTCTGGCATATCCAATGGAAACTGACTGGTGTGTGTCTGAGGAAGTGATGGGGAGAGAGAGAGAGAGTGCTGAGAGCAAGGCCTACATAGAAGTATCCCAGACAAAGGGAACCATGAGTTAGGAGACAAGAGAGCGACAGGAAATGCACAGGAGGCTGGAAGGAGAGTGCACTGCGGAGCCAGGCTAAGGATCTTTGGAAGATATATACCCAACTGATAATGGGGAGAGGTGGTGAGAGGGGCTTTCCCTTCCTTACTCTATGGGCTTCTGTTCTCTTGAAATGTTCACAGCAAGCATGTATTTGTGTATTGTCTTTTTTTTAAGGGAGATCATTTTTATTATTAAACTATATCACTCCGAGTGCCTTAGGGAGAATGGATGGGAGGATGCCAAGGGAGGAGTCATCCAGGGAAGATGAGGGAGATCATTTTTGTTATTAAAATATATCACTCCGAGTGCTGTAGGGAGAATGGATAGGGGTGCCAAGGGAGGAGTCATCCAGGGAGGATGAGGGGAACTTGGACCAGGCCAGATGAGGAACAAGAAACAGAAGTTGATGGATTTGGAGACAGAATCCATGAGCTGGTGACTAGCTCAGCATGGAGGGCTGGAAGGGCCACAGGTGCCCCTGGGTTTCCAGCCCAGTGACTACCGACTGGGCGGGTCTACCTCATTCATCACTTAGTCTACAAATATTCATTAGCAGGGACTGTCGAGACAGGCCCCAGGGATACAGTGGAGGCAAACCAAAGGCCCAGAAGGGGGCTCAGATGTTTGAGGATCACTTCTCAAATGTCAAGTTGCTACTCCAACAGGTGCTCTGAGAGAGAGGCTCTCACTGTGTTCATAGCCCCATTCCCACACTACTTGGGCACGCTGGAACTGGGTATGTGTTTATGGCCTATCAGTCTCCTCCAGTGGACTGGAAGCTCCATGGGGCCAGGTCTTGTTCCCTGCTGCATTCCCTGTGCCTTGGATGAGGCAATTGTCAATAAATATTTGTTGAAAGAATGAATGAAGATCACAGAAGGTGGATTCGGGTGGAAGGGAGTTCAAATCCTGGCTCCACCTCTTTAAGCCTCAGTTTTCTCTGCAACCATAAAATTGTGGAGGATTAGCTGAAATGATGCTTAGCCCAGTGTCTGCAGGGAGTCACCTCTTAATGTGGCGTTGACCATATTACAGGGGAGATGGTGAGGCTGATTTTAGATGTGAGGTCCAAAAACCAGCTGAGCAAAGAGTTGAGCTCAGAAGAGAAGACTGGACTAGAGATGTGGCTGGGAGTCAGCAAACAGAGAAAGTCTGTGACACCATGGGAGTCAGTGAGCCCACCCAAACTCCAAGAATATGCACATCTAAAGGGAGGAGGGAAAGGAGCCAGACAAGGAAGTTCAGAAGCAACAGCTACAGAAATGAGAGGAAAACCAGGAGAGTGTGGTGAAACAGAAGCCAAGAAACACCGTGGGGGGTAGGGTAGGAGTAGTGTCAGGTGGAGGTAGCACACCCTGCCACAGACGTGGACCACCTGGTGGGGCAAGTGGTGAGCAGAGCAGGCTGGAACGTCTGGAAAGGGGAGCAGAGGCTGCCTGGCCCCTGCACACCTCACACTCCTCCCTGAGCTCTCACCTCACTTCCTCCCACTGCTGTTGGAGACCACTTCATCCTGGGCTGCCAGAGCCAAGCTACAGAGCACTCTGACTCTTGTCCAGCCTCAAGGCATTGGACTTGGGGAATGTCCCTCACTTGCTGGCTCCCTTGGACTGCATTCCCCCCAACCAAAGTCCTGGATCTTGGCCCCGCCCCATCCTCTCTCAGACCCCTGCCCGGCCTACCTCTCCACAGACCAGCCGGAGCCCCTCCTCCTCCTCTTCCCACTTCCTCAGAGTGGCTGGTGATGGGACTTGGTCTGAGTCAGGCCCCGACTCCTCCTCCCTGCCAACCAATCAGAGAGTGGTGCTCATTGTCCCTCCATTCACCCAGGGGATGTACATGAAAAGCCTGAAACCAGAGCCATGAATTTCCTCCTAAGGAAAGTGGAAGCCAGAAAGCCAGTAGGGGAAAGAGCAAGTCTCCAGAAATTGGAGCTGCCCATGACTCCTCTCCTCTGGAATTCCCCCAGGCCTTGGGTTCCCTTCTTGAGGCCCCTCCCGACTCTGAGCCCCGACCCTTTCCTGGTTCTCATCTTCACTCCTTCTTTGGAATAGGTAGCAAGACCCTTTCTTTAGGCATCAGGTAAGGAACAGGGAGACAGAAAAAGATGGAGGAGAAAAGACAGGAGTGTGGGGGTGGGAGAAGAAGGAGATGAAACAAATGGAGAGATGGCCTGAGAAGGGTTGGGGAGAAAAGACACTCTAAGCAGCTGTCCTGGGGGAAGGCTCAAGAGCCTGCCTCTCCTCTCATCTGGGCAGCAGCCAGGGGCCGACTAGGTGCCGGGGAGAGAATGAACCCAGCATAGGCGGTGGGGGCAGGGCTCAGGCACAGGCAGCCCATTGTGACCACAAACACACACTCACCAGGGGCCCTGGTGGGTAGCAGGAGTGACATCGTTTGGCTCTGGCTGTAGCTTCTCTGAGAACCGGGCCAGCAGCTCAGCCTTCTCTAGAAGACGGTTATCTATGGGCGCAAGAGGGTGAGCCTGGGGTAGAGACAGACACTTTCCAGCAGACTCCAGGCATACAAGTTAGCTCTCCGGCTGGGAGAGCTGCAGGAGCCCAGGGATACAGAACTGGGGAGCTACAGGCGGGCTGGGCTCTGCAGGGGTTGGTGTAGCTCTCCCAGGACCTCCGGCCCTGGCACGGCCTCACAGCACTAGCCCCCAGGCCCTCCCAGGAAACCTGCTCTTCCAGGGACAGAGAAGGACGACCACTGCTGGGGAAGGGGATGGCTGGGCACTGCCCGCTGAGGGTCTTGAGGGAAGGAAGGGGCCACAGATTGATTCAAACCTCCCCCAGGACAGGGTCTGGCCCCACAGAATGAGGAAACAGACCAAGCTCCACCTGCCTGCGGCCTCTGGCAAGTTACTTCCCCTCCAGGGGTTCTAACTTTCTAGACTGAAAAGCAATCCTGACTTTCCCAGGGTTGGAGTCAGGTGCCCCTAGATGAGAACAGAAAGTCCTTGAGCAATTATCTAGCAGACCCCCTTGAGTTTGGTAGTTTCTGCTACAGACCCTGGAACATAGCCCCTCCACCCCGACCCATGGCCACAGTCATGGTCACTTCCTCTTTTCTCACCAGTTCCAGGGTAGAGTGGAGATGACAAGCCCAGGCCTAGCTCCTCAGCTCCTGTCCCTCACCCAGTCCCCTGCCTGCACCTCGACTGAGGTAGCTGGTCCAGTTCTCACACAAAAACCCACCCCAGCCCCAAGGGCACTGCTCTGGCTCCCCAGCAAACCTAAAGAAGATGCCATTTTGCCCAATTTACAGGTGAGAAATCTGAGGCTTAGGGATATGACCTGTCCAAGACCACAGAGAAGACTGGACCTTCAATATGTCTGATTTCAGCCCTCCAGAGTCTCTCCAGTCCCACAGATTTGCAGATTTCAGGGGGTGTGGGTGACTCCTCTCTCAAACTGTATGGTTCCACTGTCCATCAGAGCAGTGGAGAAGTGACATTGCCTGGAGGCAGGGGGCTGGCTCACACCCCTGAAGGGAGAGGACCAGACACCTGGAAGGTTGCAGAGAAATCTCGCAGGACAAGAACAGCAAATTCAGTGGAGGTTGGGGGGAGGATGGTTAAGCAGCAGCCAAGATTAGGACCAGTGATGGAGCTGGAGGGATTGTGGTTAGACTTTCAATCCCAGACATACAATCTCAGATGACCAGAGACGCGACACAGAGCTGCACACCTGTTCATCCTGGTTTAAGCTCCCTAAAAACAACTCTGTGAGAGTCTGACTTCCCTGGGCTCAGCCAGCTCCCTCCTGCAGCCTGGATCCCCCTGCTTCTACCCCAGGCCAAGGTTGGCTGGGCACAGAGGTGCACCAAAATCCTGAGCCATGATCACCTATCAGCGGAAAAGCCTGGGACTCTGAGCTTCCTCCCTAGAGATTCAGAGTTGAGAAGCTGCTGCTCTGGACAGTCTCGCGATGGGGACCAAATGGTCTGACCAGGCTCTACCCTGGGACCACCCAGGAAGGAGAAGCATAAGAGACCTGAAAAAACCAACCCTCGGTGACGCACCCGTGCCTAGGAAGCCCAGACTGTGGGAGGCAGAGCCGAGCGCTGAGAGGCGATGAGAGCTGGAGCACCAGGAAGGAGCTCCGTCCAGGAAGGGGCTCTAAGCAGAGCCTGGATTGGAAAAGGCAGGAAAGCCGGCTAGCCGAAGGTGGGGCGCAACAGACAGGGGATCCAGCAGGCCCAAGGCTTCAGAGGCGAGAAGGAGTCGGTGCACTCGGTCCCAGCCCGAGGAACCAGACAAACCTCCCCTCGCCCGAGACTCGTCCCCTGCACGGCCATCTTCTAAGCCCCCGGGGCGCACTCACAGGCCGGCACCAGCTCCAGGAAGAGTGCCTTCTGCGTGCGGTCCCGCTGTCGAAGCTGCCGCACGATGTGGCGTTTCCAGCGGGCGGCAGGGGCGCCGATAGCACCGGACCCCTCCATGGCCACCCCCTCTCTCCGCTCGGCGCTCACCTCCCGCCCAAAAAGGAGCGGCCTGGCTGGGGCGGGGCCTCGAGGGGACTCCGTGACGTCAGGGGCGGGCGGCGGCGGGGAATCCCCGGATTATACCAAGAGCGTTCGTGGGGGAGAACGGAATGGAAACGTGGGGAAAGCCGCCCCCACGGTTTACACCACCCGGCCCCCAGCAAAAATTCTCCCCTAAGAGGGGAGTCCTATTGCTCCCCGGGATAATAAGCGGGAATCGAGGCCGGAGCCTCCGGGGCGGCCTCCCCCACGCCCGTTGGCGCGCTCCGCAGGCGGGGCCTCCGGGGCCGGGGTTCCTTAACCCCACAGCGCCCGGACCCAATTAGTACCCGACGTTCGCCCACGCCGCCTGCAAACCAAGCCACTCTCTCTCCTGGAGACCTGGAGACCCAGACACGCCAGACCCTGCCCTCGAGGTGCTCAAGATCTGTGAGGGGAGGCCACACAGACACAAGGCACAAGCGGTGTGCAGCGAGATAAGAAAGGACAGAGGAGGAAGAGACTGAAGGGAAGAGGCCCTGCTTTCTGGAGATGATGGCATTTGGGTCTGGTCGTGAGGGATGTAATAGGAGTTGGCCAGGAGGAGACAGAAAAGGATTCGAGGTAGCGGAAAGAACAAGTGCAGAGGTTCAATGACGTAAAAACAACCAGCGGATGCAAAAGAGCCTGGAAGGACAGGAGGCACAACCGCCCTTGTGGGGAGCAAGGTTTAGGGGCCCTAAGCAAGGGTGACTCTATGTGGGCAACCTCTGGAGGAGCAGCATCTCTTGCAGGTACACTGTACAGTGAATCATGGGTTGCAGGGAACTGTGATAAAACTGTCTCCAGCAAGACCCCTGTCCAGAGCTCCGCAGACACAGGCCAGTGTGAAGAATGAAAAGAGGGATTCACTGCGACCAGTCTCACCGTGGGATACACTGTGTAAGGCCCCAGCAGGCCCTGCTCTTGGTGAGTAAATGCAGACCTGTCCATCCGCAGGAAACTTGGGAGAGAAATTGGGCGATGTTGGGGAGCCACGCAGGCCCTGGAAGTGACAGGTCTGTTGAGATGCGGATGGGAATGGGTCACAGGACTTGGAAAGCGGTAAATACCAGTGACATCCCAGGAGAGTGTACCCTGCTCTGCTTTGAAACCACAATGAACTGAGCTCAGTCCCCCACATGTCATTGTCTTTGACCCTCATCTCTTTTGCACATGTTCCTTTGGAACACCGTCCCCTCTAGTCAGCCTGGCTCCTACTCATGGGTGGCCTCCTCCGGGAGAACTTTCTTGCCCCTGCACTGAGTTAAGCCTTCTCTGATCTCAGCCCCAGCCCAAGCCTACCCTGTCTGTTGAAGGAGTGGGTGGTGGGTGGTAACGTTTACCAGAAGGTGTGCCCATGGTACCATGATGCCCATGGAGGCCCAGGGCCAGTTGGTGACAGTGATGAATTCCCTTTAGGACTGGCTGGCTCTTGGGTGCCTGGGGGCAGTATCAAAGGAGCCGGGGCTGTAAGCATGGAAGGGTGTATTAACAGGGCTGTTCTTGGCTGTGAGATGCAGAGGTGCTATTTTTCCCAGGTGAGGAGTCATGTTAGGGTCAGGGGTTCCTAACCCTTTTTTGACTCACAAAACACTCTTAAGAAATTTAAAATAATTTTGTCATTTTTGAACAGTATATGATAAAGAAGTAATCGATTTTGACTAAAAATATTTATCTTCTATCTTTGGAATATGAAAGATTGTATTATGAACTTCACTTAAAATAAAATTTTAGACAACATTCATAATATAAATGAATTTGAAGACGTGTCTATTTTTCACATTTAACATGCTGTTTATCTTTAATTATGTGAGAAAACCATGATTTAATGACCAATAAATATAAAAAGTGATTAAATAATGATTTAGAGAGCTAATGTACTTTAGAATATAGTTTTAAACTTGCACCTGTGTTAGGCATCTCCAAGCAGCCAGAGTGATTGTTTAAAGACCAAAGGCTTGGGGCCAGCCTGGTGGCATAGCGGTTAAGTTTGCTTGCTCTGCTTTGGCAGCCTGGGGTTCGCCCTTTCGGATCCTGGGTGCAGACCTACTTACTGCTCATCAAGCCGTGCTGAGGCAGCGTCCCATGTAGAGCAACTAGAAGGATGTACAACTATGACATACAACTATCTACTGGGGCTTTGGAGAGACAAAAAAAAAAAGGGAAAAAGGAGGAAGATTGGCAACAGATGTTAGCTCTGGGCTAACCTTGCTCAAAAAAAAAGACTGATGTATCCAACCCATCCTCTAAAAAAATAAATAAATAAAAAATAAAAACCAATGGCTTTCCAGCATGTCCTAAGCAAATCCCAAACTGCTTACCATGGCTTTCAAGGCCCTGCTTGCTCTGGCTCCTGCCCACATCTCTGACCTCACCTCTTTCTACTCTGTGAAGAAAGCCTTCTTCACAACACTGAGATCACTGCCAAACTCATTCCCACCTTGGTGCCTTCACCCTGACTGTCCGCTATTCCTGGTGCTCTTCCTCCAGAACTTTTAGGGCCTGGCACTACCCCTTCTTTCAGAAGATCTTCACTGTTCACCCAAGTTGAAATAGCCTCCATCCCAGTCAATGTCTACAGCACCATCTAATTGTTCATCCTTTCAGAGCACTTATCACTCCCAGAAAGGGTCATGTTTCTGTGTTTGTTTAGTTGTTAATGATCCGTCTCTCCTACCAGGCTGGAAGCTTCAGGAGAGCCAGGACCCAGGTCAGCCTTGATCTCGGCTCTGTCTTTCGCACCTAGAACAGGCCTGGCACCAACTGAGGAGGTCACCAGTAAATATTTATTGCTGTTGCTGTGGTATCAAAAATATACAGGAACAGTTTTCATGGCTCAGTGCTTAGAAGTTTTGAATTCAAAATTGTACCTATTTTTAATTGAAAAATAAATCACATGCACATAGCCAAAAATTCAAATAGTACAAGAGTGAGCTTCTTTGCCTCACATTTTCATATTGGTCGGGATAGGACAGGCTGTTCTGTGATCTTTTGGTTATCGATTACTTAATATAACTATTTCTTAATATCTCTCATGATTCTGAGTGTTGGCTGAACTCAGCTGAGTGATTCTTGCTTTGCGTCTCTTAATGTGGTTGCAGTCACAACCAGGCCTAGAATCATCTGAAGACTCAGCTGGGCTGGTTGCTAATGATAGCTCACCTATTTGGCTGGCAGGAGATGCTGGCTGTTGACTGGAAGGTCTGTTAGAGCTGAAAACCAAAGGGCCTACATGTGGCCCCTCTACATGGCTCAGAGCATGGTAGCTGGATTCTGAGAAGCAGCATCCCAAAACCAGCATTCCAACAGATGGTAAGGAAGCTGCTAGTGTCTTAAGGCTTGAGCCCGGAAACTAGCACAGCATCACTTCCTCTGTATTCTGTTGCCCAAAGCAGTCGCAGTCCAGCCCAAATTCAACGACAGGGGACATAGACGCCAGCTTTCAATGAGAGGAGTGTCAAAGAATGTCTGGTCATCTTCAATCCACTACATGTGGTACCAAATAAACCTTCAAATCTCAGTGGTTTAACACAACAAGTGTTTATTTCTCACTCACATTGCAGTATGGGATAGACAGTGTTGGTGTTCTATTCTCCTCCAGCAGTGACTCAGATCCAAATTGCTTCTACCTAACAGCTCCAGCATCTCAAAGTTTTTTGATCCCAACTGCTCAGATGGGAGAGAGGTTGAGGATGGAGGGAGTGGGGAAAAGATTCGCACTGACACTTAATTGCCTTGGAGCTGAAGTGACACATTCCTCCATCCACATTCCCATTGGTGAGATTACATCTGCTAGGACCCTTGGGAAAGGTAGTCTTCCCATGTCCCTGGAAGAGAAAAATGCGTGTGAACACATGATTGTTGCTGACACACACCAATTTCCCAGTCTTTTTTCTAGAAGCACCACCACTAGCAATTTAGTGTGTATCCTTCCAGAAATATCTATGCATATACAGACATATAAAAACACAAATGTAGCAGTTACACACTGTTCCACACTTTGCTTCTTTATATAACAATATATTTTCAATGTATCTTAGAGAACTTTCCGTATCAGAATATATGGACCTACTTTATTCCTTTTAAGGCTGCAGAGCATTTCATTGTATGGATGTACATAATTTATTTAATCAGTCTCCTATTGATAAACATTTAGGCTACTTCCAATTATTTGCTCTTATTATGTTACACCATTCAGTCTTGTACATAGATCTCTGCTTAACTATGTTAGTGAACCTGTAGGAAAGTTTCTATAAGTAATATTTAGAATATATGTATTCAATGGTTATCATATAGCCCAGTAATATCCAATTAGAAAATATAATAAAAATGAAGTCATTCACAACAGCAACAAAAACTAATATACTTAAGAATATACCCAAGAAAAAATTTACAAGCTGCAAATGAACAACATAAATTAATTTGAATGTTTGTATCAATTATATATTTAATGTATCTTAATGTGATCAATTAAATTAACTGAAGGACATAAAAAAATACCTGAATAAAAAAAATATATAACATGTTTGGGGTTGGGAAGACTAAAAATAAAATTATAATTGACACAAATTATGAATTCAATGTATTCCAATTGAAATCCCAATAGGATTCTTTTTTATGGAACTTCACAAGTTGTTTCTAAAACTCATCTCAAAAAGAATACCCAAGAAAAAGAATTTTTAAAGAATGATGAAAAAGACTATTATAATGAAAATGGTGTGCTGTTGGTTCAGAAATAGGCAAGATTAATAACAGAGTAGAAACTAGAACTAGATCTTCCCACGTAGGACTTTAATATATGATGAAATGGCATTTCAAATAAGTGGAAGACAGGAGTCTCTTCAATAATTTATGTAAGGGCAATCAGTTATCCAGTTAGAGAAAAATACAGTTAGATTCATTACTTCACACCATGTGAAAAAGTAATTTCCAGATGGATTATGTTATATTATGGTTTATAACCA